CTAAGAATAGAGTTTTCTCCCACACAGAATGTTGCACAAATATTCAAGAGTTTGATTCACATTACTCTTTGAAGCAGAAATGAACTGGGACCCTTGCTAGCCTCCACGTAGAGTGTGCACAGGAGAGTTGTCTGGAGGATGCTGTTCCCTGCAGTTGGGGGGAACCTTGCCCTGGCCCCAGGGCCACAGAGCTTCAGGGTTAAGGATGACAAACTCATGGCATGACAATGTTTTCCCTGGGCCAGCCAGTGCACTGGGCATCTCCACAGCAATCCAGTGACTCCCAAAGCCAGGGACAGCACTGAGAAAGGGCATTTGGATGCCTGGGTGGCCAGGTGAGGGGCAGCCCTGCCTGACACAGCTGTGCAAAGTGTGTCCCTCTGGATCTAAACCTCCCGCAGATCCTATTTATTGCCTTCATCAGGTTTGGCAGCATGGATGTCACACAGAAGCACAGCAACACACTTGAAGTTTACTCAAACTAAATCGTTTAGCTTCCCTTCAAGAAATGACTGAAAATGCACAAGTCTGGAAAATCAATTCTGAGAACACCACTCTGCGTTTTGTATAAATAAACTGATCCTTTACAAGACATGATGGTAATGCCCGTTGGTGGGTCTGCTACAGCAGAGATGTAGACTCTCAGGAATACAGGTTTTGTAACTGCAATAGAAAAACTGCAAATAAATGATTCATGTGCATGACTTTCTGTTTTTAATGCACTGAAGGAAGGGGGATCGAGGCAGCAACCTATATTTACTGAGCTGCCTCAGTAAACCCAGGGCACAATCCACCACATGATTCCATCACCCAATTGTGAAAGCTCAGCAACTTGGTTCCTGCTTGCTGCTGCTGTTGGTTGATAATTTTGAGGTGTTTGTATCTGTGACAGCCATCTCTGCCTCACTTAACTTCTGTCCCCAGACTATGTGAAGATCAGACTATGTGTTTACAAAAAGTTCCATCATGATTTCAGGACCAGTGGCAGCCTCTCATGTACTGGAAATAATTCTTCACGTTTGGCCATAAGAAACCTGATACAATGTGCTTGAGAAGATTGAGATTGTGTGATATACATGCAGGAAACTCATTTTGTCTGTGGCAGACTCAGCTCCTACTGAAGCCCATATTTTTGAGGGAAAAAGATATGAGTCGGAATGTTGGAAAGCACAGTAACATCCCCAAGTTCAGTTTCTGCTTTGCTTCACTCATTCTACTAAGCTGCAGAATGGATTCTGAGTGTTCAAACACATAGGGTGTGAACTGCAGCAGAAATCTGTAAAAACTTCAGTTAACTTCAGTTAACTGGGGTGTGAAAAGACAAGGAAACTTTTTTTTGGCAAAACACACCTCTAAATAAGTATTTGAAGCATCAAAGAAACCAAGAAGAAGACAAAGATGAAGACGAAGAGGAAGAGGAAGAGGAAGAGGAAGAAGAAAAAGAAGAAGAAGAAGAAGAAGAAGAAGAAGAAGAAGAAGAAGAAGAAGAAGAAGAAGAAGAAGAAGAAGAAGAAGAAGAAGAAGAAATAGAAGGAGGAGGTGGAGGAGGAGGAAAAGAAAGAAAAACAAAAAGTAATGCCAATGTATGGGGTTTTGTCTCCAATGCCTCAGCTTCATTTAGAAAGGAAAGGATCAAAATTTGCAGAATGGAAGGGTCACTGTGGAAATTGGACTTGCCCCAAGGCACTGATGGTGTGTCTGGCCCACTATGAATGTCTAATCCATAGCAGAGCCTGGAGAGTGGTGGAGGCTGAGGCCAGCACCCAGAAGTTGAGGCCCCTGGGGCTGAGGTGGCAGAGTATTTGGTGCACCCTCATGGCTCTGCCTTATAGGGCCTGCAGGGCTGCACCATGGATGCAGTGCTGGAAGTGTGTGTAATTCAGGAGGTGCTGGGCTCCTCTGCATGCTGCACACTCCCTGTTTGACCTGAGCACAGGAAGATTCAAGTCCTCCTTGCTGGAAAAAAGGACTCTGAAGAAGATTCTGGCTGTCCTCTACCAGACACAGATGAACACAGTGACTTCTCAGGTAGGGAGGGCGGGACACCTACCACAGCGGGATCCGCATGGCTTCATGTGTTGGGGGTTTAAAAGTTAGTCATGAATGATGTGTTGCCTTTCTGAATAAAAAGACTCCTTAATTTATATATTTATAAAGTGAAGCTTGAATGTTCTTCTATATGCGTATCCTACATTACATATAAAAGAATATTAAGTCATCCATTTCTACTCGCCTATTCAAGAAAATACCAACTATTTATTCTTAAGTGAATTGAACAGAAGAGAAGTAATATTGAGTGGAGCACTATAAATAATGCAATGGAAAATAAAATGGAAAAACCATAAAGGCATCCCTCCCAGGATGAGAGGTCTGCCATTGACCAGCTCCTTTCTCCTGTCCTCACCTGCTGTGCAGGCCGGTGTCTCTTCACTACTGGGTGGAGAGAGAGCCAGGACACAAGCTCTCTTCAATCTCAGGAAAGATCAGGGACATGGCCTTCTTTCAGCATTTTCAGTGGCTGTAATTTATAATTAATTCAGCAGCTGTGCTGTGGAACATTCATGGTTTCTAACAGTCCACATCTTAACTGATTAAGAAGAGAATATGGTGTCTGTCAATCTCATTTTTATAATGACTCTTAGAAGTTGAATTTCCAGGTTAAATGTATATAAGATGAATTTGAAGGTCACAGACTTTTCACTTGAAACCTCAGCATAGAGTTAGAGCCTGGTAGAGGAAGACTGAGTCTGCTCAGATCTATGTGGAGATCTAAAGTCAGAGAGATGGTCCAGGCAAAGGTGCAGGACACCATGGCTAAAAAAGGCCTGGTCCAGACCGCCTCATCCATCAGTAAGTTCTCAGGAAAGCATCACACATTGTATGCTGCACAGGAGAGAGCTGGAATGGTTCCAGAGGTCCTCCCTACATGCCTGAGGCCCCCTCTCTCACTCAGGGGAGCTCTGTATGAGGTCAGTCTGTTACAGAGCCCAACTTGACTGAATGTTTTCCACCCAGGTGCAGATCTGAACTGCCACATGTGGACTCACCATAGTTATGGAGCAGGACAGGTGTTTACAGGGAGCAGGTCAGGAGATGAGGACACTGCAGGCAGGTCAGGGTATGAAGCCTTAGAGACCAGACCCTCACCAGGCCCAGTTTCCTCCAGCAATAACCAAACCCTGCAAGTGTGTGCATTAAATCTGAGTAACTGAAAGAAGTTACTCACAAAATTATGTATTATAGAGATAGTTTGAAGATACAAAATAAATGGTAGCATCCGTAAGTAAAATGAGATGTGACCCTTAATGGATATGTGGTGTCCATTGATGTCACCGAACCATACACATCAGAAGGAAACAGTCTGATGAACAGAGCAATAAGGAGCACAGGCAATGGGTAAAAATCACAGCTTCTTAATAACAACAACAAACCTAGGATACAAAAAGTGAACTGGTGAATTTTATCCAGTATATAATAAAGAATAAATACTGATTGTTTTTCAATTCTTTGATCAAGTTGAAGGAAAACCCACCACCAACATCTTTTAAGTGACAAAGTTAAAGTTATCCTGAGAATAAAGCCAGACAATAATGTGTTAAAAATAATATAAAAGAAAACACTCTGTTGGCTAATATTCCAAGCAAACATAAACAAAAGTGTTCAGCTAAATGTTTGCAACATTAACTCACCAGCATATTCAAAATTAACCAACATGATCAACACTGGGCTCAATCTCAGTGGTGCAAGTATGGTCCCTCTCTAACAAACTATCTGTTTCCACTGGTTTTAACATGTTGTATCTTACTATATTTTACTATCTGTGATAGTATAAAGAAAAATTTTTATAGGCAAGTAGATAATATAGAAACCATTGTTCGTTTTCTGTTAACTGGTTCTAAATACCCTGTAATTCTTTCATTCTGTTGAATGGCTTCACACTATCTTGATATGCTTGATGCTATCATATACGAAGTTATAATCAAATAATTAAAGGAATGAGGCACTATGGTGACTACTGTTATGTTAGATTATCTGGGAGTGAAACACAATTATGCTTAAATTGTTCCATTCTGACCAGTGTTGTTCTATTACAATGTCCTCTTTTATCTCAATCTACACCCTTTTTTTAAATTAAACTTTTTTATTTTTTTCAATTAAGGGAAAACTAAATTTAAAAATAGCGGGATATATTATAGTAACTATTTGTTTTCCTATTAACCTGATTTGAACCCCAGTATTGCTCTCCACATCTTGTTCTGTCTGATTTTACTATATTCTATTTTGTTTGATAGTATCAAGTTTGAGGGTATATACAACCACTTTGGAGGCAATAAGATTTATTATAATGCCCATTATAGTTTGACTATTATCTTCTTTTAAAATCTTGTAAGGTTTCCAGTGTAGGTTTTATTGGTCTTGTTCTGTACTGTTTTGATCAATTCTATTATACCTGATGATATAGCAACTCTTTTTAAAAATAGCAAGAGGCACATTGGTAACCATTTTTGATCATCTGATATTCTATTTTTGCATCATGTACTATGCCCATCCTTCTGTTCTAACTGTCTCTGTTTTATGTAGTCATGTTAGGATTTATTCTCTTTAAAAAATGTAATAAGAACTGTGGGAGTAAAAAACTCAAAATGTGTAACTGTTATTGTAAAAAAGAGAGGAAAGGAAGGTGGTCTAAGGGATATAACTGCATGCTTGCATGTGTAGGATGGAAAATCATATTACTGAGCTTTTGTTGGATCACTGAACAGAACTTTCTGCAATCTCACTGTATGAATGTCCACTTTATATGCTTTAATTTTGTAATTTGGACAACTGTTTCTAAGATGACTGAAAGGATTTTGGCCCAGATAGGACACTGTAGCCAGGAAAGCCACAACGGGAAGCAGGAATCCCCATCTCCCTTGCCCCTAGGAAGTTACCTGTGACGCCATCTTCCCGCCCCTGGAAATTTACATATGGCGCCAAACCTAGGACCAATGGGCTACCTGTGTATCCCTAATGCCCGCCTTAGGTTCCACCCCAAACCGAGGCTATTTATAGGCTCCCACGCCAAGTGTCCGCTGAGAGATCGCTGGACGCCAGTGGTGGGGGTGCGGGTCATTTCTCTCCATGTTCTCAGAATAAAGGCTGCTTTTTATTTTATATTTTGCATCTTTTGCTAATATTTTTCATCTTTTGGAAATAACCCTAGTAATGACAATATGTAACCTATTAACTAGTGATTTCTTACTGTATTTTTTCTTGAAATTCTGTATTGCTTGTACCCTTTTACTGCTTTGTTGTTTATTTCCTTTCTTCTCTTTAATTACAAAAATAATCAAACCTGGAATGGATATCTTTTATTCATTTATTTACTTTTGGCTCTTGAGATGAAACTCATGGCCTCACACTTGCCAGGCAGGTTCCTTAAGCCACTGAGCTAAATCCCCAGCTCACCAATGGATATCTTTTACATCTTGTCATCTTCAGAGTAGTTGCCTCTGCTCTTGAACTTGATACCAGCAAGCATACCAAATGTGAATAAAATCAGTCAAGGCCAAATAACATTGAAACAATCCAGCTTCAAAGAAGATCAGTCATAGAAGACAATGTAAGTAATATAGGGATTCAGTTTTAGTTAATAGGAAATTAAGGATAATTACCATGGTATAACCTGCTATTTTTCAGTTATCTCTCTGTGCCCTCAAATCTAATATGAGTAGACAGACCAGAACAAAATATAACCAAACTAAACAGAGCAACAAGATTACTGTAGCTTTTAAATCCTGATACACTTTTAACTATGTCCTCTGCCTTCTTTTTTTAGGCAACTTCTCACTTTTCTCCTTCTCAGGATACTATTATTCACTGTTCAGAGTGATATTAGTCTAGTCTCTTGTGTTCCATTTCAGCATACATAAAGATAAAGATAGCTACTACAAAGACAATGAGAGACATTATGGTAGTCATCATCGACTTCCCCAAAATCAGTCTTGAAGATCGAAAAAGCTTGCATCATCCTGTAATTATTTGATTAGTTATATAATATTCAGTATATATTCAATGTGTGTGAGGATGGGAACAACTATTTGGAAGAAAACTAGAGACAGTAAGATAGACAGTGAACATTTCCAGTGGACTTGCTTTGAAATCTGTGTTTCCTTAACTTGTTTCCTTATGAACTGTTTTGCTCTGTTTCGCTATGTTTAATCTTACCCTCTTTAAGAAAAAAAAGTGTGTAGGAAGATAGGCATATTAATAACTTTTTGGTGGAACATTGAGGTGAACCGTGACAGTGTCATTATTTGAATATCACTTTGTATGCTTTAAATTTGTAACTTGAACAACTACTTCTAAGATGACAATATGATACTAATCAACCAGTGATTTCTTATTGTTTATTTTTCTGAAATTCTGTATTATTTCTACACTTTTTGCCTCTTTAAAGAAACAACATTGCAATTCACCAGAAAATACAAAATTTAAGTTTTAAAGATAAAATATTAAGTATGGAGGCACTATCCATACTTGAAAGTGAAAAGCCCATTTCAGTTTAGCATGTTTAGTTACAAGATGCCATGTTGAAGCACAAAAACATCTAGATAAAAAAATCTAGAGAGGTACAAGTGTTTAACTGAAAACCATACAACATGTACACCTAAGGAGAGCCCCACCTCAGATTTGTCATTTCTGGAATATTTGTGAAGAAATATTGACATCTAACTTCTGTATTGATTATTTCTTCAGGTCTCCTTGGGATTTTTAAAGTAAACTTAGATCTAAACTGTCTGAACAGTGATGCTTTTTCTATGTATTTAACAAGAAACATGGATTGCTATGTTTCTCACATTGTTAATCCACATAGGATCTCTGCCCAGTGAGCTCTTTCAGATATGTAACAATGATCATGTGTGCTGAGAGTATTCCCATAGCACATAGGATTTATCTCATGTGTGAGTTTTTTTTTCATGTATTTCACTTACAATCTGGCTGCTGAAAGTGTCTCCACTTGCTTACATAGCCAGTGGTTCTTCCCAGTGTGAAATCTTTCATGTGTTTTGCAATGACTATATGTAGTAAAACCTTTGCCACATTGTTATATACATAGGCTTTCTCACCAGTGTGATGTCATAGATGTATTTTACAAAATCCATGTGTGGTGAAAGCTTTCCCACATTCTTCACAGTTTCTCAACCATGTAAATTTTATAATGTATTGGACAATGAGCATTTCTGCTGAAACTTTTTCTACATTACTTACATATGTAAGTTTTCTGCCCAGTGTGAAGATTTTCATGCATTATCCAATATGTACATTTGCTGAAACAATTCTCATGATGCCTATATACACTGGTTTTATATTGAATGTGAACTTTCATGTTTCTGACAATCTCCCTGTGTTTTAAAAGCTTTCCCACATTGCTTACACGCATATGGTTTCTCTCCAGTGTGAATTCTTTCATGAACCTTACATTGTGCATGTGTGTTAAAAGCTTTCCCACATTGCTTACATACATATGGTTTCTCTACAGTGTGAATTCTTTCATGTTGCTTACAATTTCCCCATGTGTTAAAAGCTTTCCCACATTGCTTACATGCATATGGTTTCTCTCCAGTGTGAATTCTTTCATGTTCCTTACAACGTCCAGGTCTGGTAAAAGCTTTCCCACATCGCTTACATACATATGGTTTCTCTCCAGTGTGAATTCTTTCATGTTGCTTACAACATCCAGGTCTGATAAAAGCTTTCCCACATTGCTTACATACATATGGTTTCTCTCCAGTGTGAATTCTTTCATGTTCCTTACAATGTCCAGGTCTGGTAAAAGCTTTCCCACATTGCTTACATACATACGGTTTCTCTCCTGTGTGAATTCTTTCATGTTGCTTACAACATCCAGGTCTGGTAAAAGCTTTCCCGCATTCCTTACATACATAGGGTTTCTCTCCAGTGTGAATTCTTTCATGATTCTTACAATTTCCCTGTGTTTTAAAATTTTTCCCACATTGCTTACATACATAGCGTTTCTCTCCAGTGTGAATTCTTTCATGAACCTTACATTGTGTATGTGTGTTAAAAGCTTTCCCACATTGCTTACATACATAGGGTTTCTCTCCAGTGTGAATTCTTTCATGTTGCTTACAATGTTTAGAACTGGTGAATACTTTTCCACATTGCAGACACATATATGGTTTCTCTCCAGTGTGAATTCTTTCATGATCCTTACAATTTCCAGGTTGGGTGAAACATTTTCCACATTGCTTACACACATAGGGTTTCTCTCCAGTGTGAATTCTTTCATGAACCTTACAATTTGCATGTGTGTTAAAAGCTTTCCCACATTGCTTACATACATATGGTTTCTCTCCAGTGTGAATTCTTACATGAACCTTACAATATGCACGTGTTTTAAAAACTTTCCCACATTGCTTACATACGTAGGGTTTCCCTCCACTGCAATATTTTTCATGGATCTGAACATCATGTGTTTCTGTTTCTTTCACATTCACATTACCTTCTGCAGTACAAAGGAATACTTCTTTACACTGCTTCCAAGATGTATGTCCATAAGATTTCCCTAGCTTGTCATTTCTGTAAAGAAAAAAAATCACATATAGGATTTATAAGCATATTACTAAGCTTTTCTTGGAGAATTGAACAAAACAGTTTGCAGTCTCACTGTTTGAATCCCCACTTCATATGTTTCACTTTTGTATTTCATAACTATTTCTATGATCAGCATTTGTAATCATCATCTTGCAATTTCTTACTGTTTTTTCACTTTGAATGCAGTATTATTTCTACTTATTTTGTCTTATTTAATCTTTCCTTATATTAAATTTAAAAAAAGAAAAATTCACAGTGAAATTGGTCTCTGTTTAATGACTGCATTAATATCAAGTTCTGTTTTTAATGCCTGCTAAGAAATTCTGAATTTGAAGCAACACAATGGCCTTGTAAGATATGTTGAAAACAACCATTCCCAAAAGACTGGTACACATTTGGAAATCTTAAAAGTTGGTACTTTGAAATGCATAATGTTTAGCTTCGCTTTGGGCATGGGTACATATGTGTATCACATGCAGATTATTCTCATATGTTTCCCCATCACAATCTCCCTTCTGTCCTTAACCTGTAGTTCCCTTTTCCATATGGTCAGTCTTACTTTTCTCTAACAACTCTGTTTCATTTCTTTCCACATTTTGTATTGTGGTTTCTCATCTAAAAGAAAGCCAGTGACCTTTTAGGTTTTATAGCTGAGCTATTTCACTGAATTGATGGGTGAAAGACCCATCTAATTCTTATGGCAAATGACATCATATTATTTATTTTTTGACATTATATAACACATTTTTTTCCATTCTTGCTGGGAATGAACAACATGTATTAGCATAAATCTATAGCTTTTTAAAAATCTATTTTAAGAGATTTTCATAGATCATTAAGCTGTGAAGTTTGATCTTGAAATTGCCATTCTGCAAAATCTGATTCCTAGTGTGCTGGGTTTACAAGAATGCACAATAACAGAGAGTCTATTAACATTTTTCTTCTCCACAAATCCAGTGATAGACAGCTAAGCTTCAAGGCCTGATCTGTTATAATTTGATCTGCTTTGTATATGAGTAAGCATGTATCAGTATTTTATGCAGATTTTGAGATTTTAAAAGTATCCAGGACAAGTATGAGGGGATCAATTTCTAGAGACAACTGCATACTGATATTCAAAATGAGTGCACTATCATTCCAGCAACCTACTAAGAATATTAATCAGAATCACTGATTCTCTAGAGCAATACTTGGAAACATGAGCACTCAGTTTTATTTCAAATTCTATTGCAATCTTAGCAATTGTTAGATAATGAATGTGTTGTATTCACATATATATACGGGTAGAAAAACTGAAGGCAGAATGTCATAACTCAAAGTGCATGCCTTTCGTGCACATCTATATGCAATGTCATACATTTTCATGATTTAATTCTCTCATATATACACTAGCTTATACATCTTTGGAGAATATTACTGACATTAAATTAAATGGTGCCTCATTTCTTTGGTGGTCATTTTTCTGCTGACTCACTAATTACTCAGGAACATTCCCCTCCTTGTGAGTGTGAATTACCTTAAGTATCTCCAGTAAATTTTGCATTCTTTTTCAGCTTCCTGGATATCCCCAAGTCCTCCTGAATTGTAGACATAGAAATACCAGGACTCAGTTGAATAATACATACAAATTAATAGATTTTGTTTAGATTCATGATATAATGTGTCCAGGTCTGAGCTATTTTTAAAAATATTTTCATATTCTTTTTAACAAAACAGCACTAATGAGCAACAAACAATATTCTGACAGCATGAGTGCCAAAAAGATTTCATCCTTACCTATTGCAGCCATGTTCCTAAAGATTTCACCCATCACATCTCTGTAGAGGTTCTTTTGGGATGGACTCAGCAAACTCCACTCCTCATTGCTGAAGTTCACAACCACATCCTCAAAGGTCACCGCCTCCTAAAGGATCATACATATATTTCTCAAAGGAAGGTTGAGACCCCAGGTTTGGGATATCTTAAATTCTCTCCTACAAATCTGAATCAAAAGCAAAGTGCAGTGGTGCATATCTATAATCCCAGCACTCAAAAGGCGAGACAGGAAGGCATCAGTGAGGTCAGGGCAATTCTAGGCACTAGGGTGTTCAAATCCAGCTGATATACATACAGAAAGCTTGTCTCAATAAAACAAAACTAAACTCAACAAATAAAGCCAAACAAAACAGCTGAATGAAGACTGATTTGTTCAAATTTAAATCCATGTCTTGGTCATTAATTTTGTGTCTATACACATTTTTGAAGACAGCCAATTTGACACTAGATTTTAACTCACTGCTAATATAACAGGCAAATAGGAGCACTGATTCTTGTGCTGAGTCATGGCAAGATTCCCTGTGCACATGTCTAAAGCAGAGCTCACAGTGAGAAGCCTGCAGGACCAGCAACCACAAAGCACAGAGGCAGATAAATGTCTCATCAATTGCCTGGGAAGCCAAGCAAGAACCTCCCCTCCCCAGTCAGCGGTGGCAGTCTGGAAAACTGCAGCCCTTCCAGGGAGAGAACCAGCAGCAGCTCCTAAGATCCATTCTATGTTGGAACTTAGGGCACTGTGAAACCAAACAACCAGCCTGTCTCCCTACTAAGCAATAGTGAATCTACTGATGCACCACCTAGAATCAAATATCCCACTTCCCTACCCTTCTTCTCCTGTCACCCCCCGTTAGCAAATGGGAACCAGAAATCTGAGCATCTCCTGGGAAGTAGACCATAGGAAATAAGGGGGACTTCCTTCTACTATCTCTTTGAAGGAAAATGTTTTTTATTATTGTTTCATTCTATTCTGATTAATGGTACTGCTCAATTCAATATTCTGTTTTGATAAGTTCTATAATGTTCTGTATTTCATCTCATTTTGATATATGTGATATGTTCTATAATGTTCTGTATTTCATCTCATTTTGATATATGTGATATGACAAAGATAACAAAATATACTGTGATACCTATTACTGTTATCCCAGTAACCTGTATTGAAGTTGTGTACCAATTTCACTGTGTGATCTTAGTTGACCTTATGCTGCCTTGTTCTGTTCTATTTTACCAATTTCAAAATTAAATAAAAAATATCAGCAATCACTTTGATAGACTATAGATGATGTCTGTTCAAATCTCATTTAGGCCAATGAGTACTTTGTTCTTAATATACTTAAGCAGCATTTTGAAACATGAATATGGTTTCATAGAACAAAACATAAATAACATCAAATATGGTATATAAATAATAACTCAAGTGTTAGTGGAAAACAGCTGCATTTTTAAAATATGTATATAAAATGAAACCAGGCCCAAGCTGTAAATTATACCTCACTGTCACCAAGTGATCACTTTCAATTCAAATATAAGAAATATATCTTGGGAGGCTGGTGAAGGATTTCTTCTTTGAATTTGGGACTATCCTAAGTTACAGAGCTTTCTAAAATAGACAAACCTGATTGAGACACTGAACAGACAAAGTGAAACTTAAGAAGAGACTGCATAAGACAACTTTGGTTTGTTTTAAAAAAAAATTATAGCCATAAAATACAGAAAAATTCCAACAATATTCAACACTTTCTCAGAAACAATGTGGATATCATCCATACTACACAAAAAACTTTTTCATAGTTGTGTATTTAGCTCAGTGGCATGAACACCTGCCTGGAAAGCATAGTTCATGCGTTTGATCCTTGGTACAAAAAAATTAAAATTTCAGCTTCATGACACTGGGGCATAAATAGAGATAATCAAATTAGATCTCAAGTATGGAACACAAAAATTATGGATTGACAGGGATGTGGAATACTGATTGTTTGTTGCCAGAGCTGGTGTTGATCACCTCAATGAAGCAATCAGAACCCAAGTTTACTTCATACTTACTCTAAGAACTACCTGAGTTTCAGTGAAGACCCTCTCTGTTGTATGTCCTGCTATTTGCTGCCTGCATCCTGTCAATCACTTCCACATCTTTTCCACACTCCTCTGATCCATCCTAAGCAGAAAACTCTTCATGCCTAACTATCAATATCACTGCAAAATTTCTATTTAGGGCTTCTCATTTACACCACTTAGATAAGTCCATTGTAGAGAATTTCCATATTTAAACTGTCTATTAACAACCAAGCTACTAAATCAGCTCTTAATTCAGAGGTGACACCCCTATCCCTTTACATTCGGAAGGATATCACATGTATATGTCCATGCAAATGTGTAAATTTTGGCATTTTTCGATGAGAATTTAACAGGTAGCCATTTCTGGAATTTGTCCAAAAAATTTTACCCTGTCCTTGATAACACT